ATATAAAAATTATACAGTCACTAAAAATCATGAAATAATTTATTTTTGTAAAAAAATACAACCGACTTCAAACGCTCTAAAAAGAATGAAATAATTTCAATAAGGTAAACTTTTGTATTAGGCAAGCTCACGTATTTCAAGTCGGCGCGGCTCAAACTGCAAATATGATTGAAATTAAATATTGTGTGTGTATTTTGAAAATCAATAAATTGTAGCTGGATAAAACATACTGAACTGTTTTGTTTATATATTAAAGGAAATATTTTCTTGTATTTTATGTTTACTTCAGAATAAATGCATTATGAAAATAACACACACAAATGTTCTATATGAATAGGAAAATAATTTAGTTTGATATTATGATAGGGAAAAGAAGCTAGTTTAGTATTAAAACGTTACTTTTCCAAGTTAGAAACATTTAAATGAGTTATAATCTTTTTAAAGATACTCGTTAATACCACTATAATGCTGATCTCTGATTACGGTAATAAAATAACAATTAACGCATAACTATGAAAAAGACATGCAGATAGTTATAGATAGTCACCTGCAATATGGACATCCTCTTTCAATTTTGTATAAAAAATCATCATAGAGCCGCGCCGACTTTAAGTACGTGAGCTTTGCTAATACAAAAGTTTACTTTATTGAAATTATTTCATTCTTTTTAGAGCGTTTGAAGTCGGTTGTATTTTTTTACAAAAATAAATTATAACATTTAACGATCGCGTGGTTGTCAAACATGGCAGGCTTTCGATTTTACTTGTTTAAAAGGTTGACTTGCAGTATACTAATTAATCCTTAACATTTAAGTAGTTACTTAAATGCATATTGAATAATTAAATACCTTCGCAATGTGTTTTCTTGAAATAAAGACATTCTTTAGTATATTTATCTTGATAGTCCATGGAAAACTATGTAAAGGTATGTATATTTCTTAATTTATAAATTGCATTTCGATGTCTACTTTTAAAGCCCCCTGATGAGCAGTTTGAAGTTGACACAAGGATGAACAGTTGAACAGTTGACTTGCAGTATCCAACGTCAATGTTTGTATATTACTAATGAACAACATCATACACTTGCCAAAATAGAGATATGCGCATACGTACGTAGGAGTTTAGCTGCTAATATATTATCGTACTGATTGGCAACATCGTTAACACAACCATTGTTCTGTAAAGTAAACAAGCCAATTGCACTTGCCGTTGAATTATTACAGACTGATAATTTATTTATTTATGGACATGAAAAGTCATAAATAAATAAACTGATTGGATATGCAATTTAACATTTTCCATGAAGTAGGATAGAGTAAATATATCATTTTGTATTTTTGTAAAAACCTCAATACATTATTTGGTATTTATTTGGTTGAGATTATGGTAAAAATGTATTGTTTGCATGCACCAACATGAGTATGCAATTTCGTCTATCTGAGCATTACCCCTGAAAGTTTAATTTTATATTCAGTTCTTAAATGTTTGGGTTTTTAGGACAGTTCACAAAAACCACCTGAAGAACTGGTGTGGAGGAGTGGCTCATAGCACAGGACTTCTATCCTGAAGTCTTGGGTTTAAAATATGTCAATGAGTTATAACAGGTTTGAATTGCATAATATCATCCGGTGGTAAGCTGGCCAAATCAGCTGATAGTTCAACAGTCAAAAAATCACAAAGATAGAGTTATCTCAGGCACGGGGAATAGGCCTGCCTTTTTTCTGCATGGATATTGTTTTTATTAGTTGTAATCTACATTATGAATACGCTACAAGAAACTTTGTAAACAATAAGGATTTTTGGTTTGAAATTTAACCCCACATATTATATACCAAAATGTTCGTCTAGATGTGTAGTTTTGCAAACTGACCTTACATTTTTGAAATCCCTTGGGCTCGGCCCCAATGGCTTTTAAAGATCCAATGTTATCTTTATGGAGAACATATTTGTTTACGTTATGATCAGGTGGGTAATTTAATGGCTGTTAATATTTTAGTTGCAATTTAAGGAAACGTGAGCTACAAACATTCAATTAGTGTACACTAGTAAAATTAAACAGTTACAACGGAGTATACAAGATACTAGCTGTTAACCACGGGTTTCGCCCCGTTTGACTTCATAAGTATTAATGAAACTATCGATTGGTTAAGTAAAGCAGAAGAAATAAACAAAACAGAATACAGTAATACAAACAAATAATAACACCTGATTTTAATAGTGTAATAAATTGAAAGAATAAAAAGCAAATAAATAAAGCTGAGATATTTTAAACATTAAATATTTAAGTAAATAAGTACATAAATATTATATTTTCATATTTTATTATATTTTTTATAAGTGAACACCTAAATTTAAACATTAAGTATATGAAAAGTTCCCTTTACAAAGGAATTACGAACTTAAAGGGCAATTTATGAAATAATGGATAGTTTTGCGTAAGGTTTCTCGTCATGACAAACATTTTAAGTATATGGTTTATGGGGGTGTGACTTTTAGTTTTCTCAAAAGTTCATGGGTACTTTGGGATTTATATATGGATTCCAGGCTTCGCGTCCATAACAGTAACACGTCCTAAATTAGTGAATCCTGTATTTTATTTTTGAATCGACATAGGTAATAAATAAAAGAAAACTACACATATAATGTTTTATTTTAACATTAGAAATCTTTCAAATATCTTAAAAGTTCTAATTTGCTAAGTGAATAATACACAATTATTCGTACTTTTAAATAAATATAAGTTTACAACTGTTCAAGAGTTTATTACCTGATATAAACAAGTTGGTATTGGTGTGTAAAGGTAAGGGTAAAAGCATGACGTGGAAAGTTCAAGGGTATGTAGTGCGTGCTGCTTAAATGGTGGTTTGTTAAGAGCAGACAACACTCACTTCTGATAACATTGAGTGCTATGGAAAATGTTTAAAGTGAATACCTATTTTTAGTCAACCGTTAAGTGTCCCTACACATTGTGAAGATTAGTGCTTTGCTGTGGTCGAGGATTTCACACATAACAATAGTAAATAATTGTTCTACAAAGACTCTGCATCCAAATAGAATCAGTTAACTACAACAGGGGCACACCATAGTGCGTAGTTTAATATTGAAAATATGTATTACCTTTAAAATCACCTTTAATTTAACCAGTAATATATATCATTAAATAAAATCTAATGGCGTCCGTCTGTATACTTGTAACAAAATAACGTATAAACGACTGAACCGACTGGGCTTAAATTTCACAAAAATGTATCTACTAACAATTGGATCCGTTTAGGACTATTGACGATTTTAAAGTTCTGAGTCGAGGGTTTTGAAAGAATATTGGTCTCCATGGCTGCAATGAGAACACTCACGATGTTTTCATTTGCTATGTCACCTTTGACTAGGCTACCTTAATAGAATCTCACAAACAAGAGCAGGAACTCGATTACTACGTTTAGTTCAAAATAACATAATCCTTTATTGCTGGACTTCCGTGTTCCATTTTACCACTGCCAATGATGAGGTATTTAAAAAACTAGTCACAAATTAGTATAAATTTCAAATATTCGTCCATCAGTTTGTTAACGCAGGCAGAAGAAAGGAACTAAGGAATAAAAACAAGGTCTTAAATTTTGTACTTTTTTTAGCTAATTTTATTTAGAGTTGGTCATAGGTAGATATTGCAAATATTTATAGTTTATTTCTTAAGCATTGATTCCAATAAAGACAGGTTTCACATTTTAAATATTATATTATAAGTGGGAGAAGCCCAGTTTTCATGAGGAGGGCGAGGTGTCTAAAGTCAACCCACTTGCAATAACAGCTGATTATCATAATAAGTGGGCTGAACAATTGATTTGCAATCTTAATCTAACTTTCCTTTCGGCCGCCATAACCATTCCCGATGACAACTTTAGTGCAGAAGTTGAAATTTCATATACAGGATATTTGAAAACGTTTTGGTCTAGCTCATATGATTGTTTTCACAAGAAAATGAGCATTCAACTTAGACAGTTAGGTTAATATCTTAACTACATACACCAGCTATGGCGCTAAATTACCTATAATAAAAAAAACTATTGAACAAGGCTCTATAGTGTGTGCTAGTGCTACTATATGTAGATGATTTGATTGAATATTGCAGATTTGCTTCGAATATAATCTAATGGTGCCGTGCTGTTGGCATTTGTATCAAAATATATTCTTTTACCGTCAATTCAAAATATACATTGTTTCCCAAACATATTAAAGAGATGTCAATAAGCATACATTTACAGTAAGAAAAAAACACTCTTCAAAGAAATCTAGAATATTTACACGAAGAACTTTTAAAATAAATCTGAGTAATTTTCTATTGCACCTAAAATGAAACTATTACTTAAAATAAAAATATATATTATAAACTTGGAAATAAATAGTAAAAGTAAATAATTTTAGGATTCATAGAAAGTAATGTTCAATATAAAACATTCAGGAAATCAACCTACATAGGCTTAGTATGTGGTAGAAGAACTAAGAATATAAAATATTTTACAGTTAAACTAAAAAAAAATGCATAAGTGAGTTTGAAAAATAATAATTCTGAAGCTTAATAAGTGAACCTAGGAAATGTTGAGGGAAAGGAGCAAGATAGAAGACATTGACCTAGTTAGTAAAGTAATTCATTTGACATAATGCGCAATTCATGGATAGAGATAAAACAGAAAACTTGTAATATACAAAACCAATCACCTTTTAAAAGTTAAGCGTGTTGATTTGTGAAACTATCTATACACAAATCGTTTTAGAAAAAAATGAGGGCCACGAAATTATACATAAATTTAGACTACGTGTAGATACTTTGGAGGAAAGAAAATATTTCTAATTTGCTTTGAAACTAGTCATGAGAATTCAGAATAGAATCACATGAGTGGAAAATCCCGTTACAAACTTCATTGATTATGTGCAAGCTTAACAGGGTCATGAAAGTTTATGATTCAGTTTAGAGTTGGAATTATTGACGACCGCCCTGAATAACAGACGAGGTTCCAAGAAGTCGCAGACGATGGATGGTCCAGAGAGGTGAGCCCCGCCTGGAGGCTGGCCTTGGTCAGGTATTTCCGGCGCGGAAACATTATGTCACTTAAGATAATGACGATTGAAAGCTACCAATTTGATAGGACTCAATGCGTATTTGACCCCATTTCAGCACTTAGCCTGCAGGTTTATTAAATGTAACATTCAACATCCCCTTGTCTATGGTGTAACACATTCAGTGAATGAATCATTTGTATAGCTGGTTTTAAGGGGATTATTAAACGAAAGATGTGATCCTTGCTTGTTTAGTAACTGGGTTTTTTTTTAGTGTAAGGGTCTCGGACACTGGTCGTAAATCCAGGGGCCATATTTATATAGTCTAACCTAACATAACCTGACCAAAATGCGGATTAGGGCCAGAGGTGACTGGTTCTTCGTGTCCCGATTTTTTACTATCCAATAACAAATATTTTAGGCTTTTCTGTGACAAATGCTCATGCGGTTAGAGTTTTTGATTCTTAGACAGTGCTTCTGAAAGTTGGCTACAGCTAGACCGAAATCTCAGTTTACCAAACACAAAGAGTAGTTTTCAGAATTACTTAGAACATAGCCTAATAAACACATCTAAATCTCTACTGGTCATAGATAGAAGTGTGGGAATTTAATGTTGCTCTAAGAATAGTTTCGAGGGTCATTATATCAACTCCTTAAATTTTTTTCTCACTTGCCAATTTTTGTTTACGTTGTTATTTTTTTCGCTCGGTAATATTATGCAACAATAGTACTAAGCGGACAAAATAATCGCAAATATTCCTATTCATTCAAAATATGTATATGAGAACTGGATAAACATAAAATAAATATATTGAAAATACCTTAAAACCGCTTTTATAATTTTAAATTACATTACAATTCTAAATGGTTATTATGTGTTTCACATACTTGCATTTCAGTATTCTTGGATATCGCCAAGAGGTGATAGTGTGAGGCTACAATGACACAGAAAGTTCCCAGTAACATGACGTGGAGTGCCACAGGTCTACGGGGGCGTCAGCAGCCCCCAGTTTAGGGGCGGCGGGGGCTCGAGGTGAAAGGTAAGGGGACAAAGGCCCCCCATATATATGACAGGTCGCCCTGCTCTGCTATCAGTTCTTCTTCTTCATTCGTCTCATAGCCATCATGACCTCACAGGTACACTATGACATTTAGCACTGGTGCCAACCACACCTGGTTATATACATGTTTTTATACAGTGTATTTTAAAGATTATTTTTAAATTAGTATATATACGAGTGTTGATTGAACATATGAATAAACACAAAATGCACTTTATTATACAAAATGTTGCTTAATTGTTGAGGCATAATCATTCGTTAAAGACAATGTTTATTATTAACAGATGTCATTGAATTATTGTATACATTTATATTTTAAGACTTACTTTCATTGTTATTAGGAGCAAAAATAACAGAACTTATAATATTTATTTCCTACTATGTTCAATGATTTAATTTTATTACTTCTAAATAATTTGTGATTTTTTAAATATATCAATATTAATTTAGGTTGACATAAATAGTAATTTGAGTATTAATTAAAAAGTAAATATATAAGTTATTATTCGAAATGGTGTGCAAAAGATGATAATAAAATGGTAACAGTTTTGTGTATTTCAAAGTTGTAGGTAGTCAAAGCTAAAATGCTAGATTAGGGGAATGTTTTGATGGATATTTTTCCTATAATGCATTCTCTTAACAAAACGGATTCATAGATTGTTTTTATTAAGTTCAAACTCAATATATAGGTCAATTGTTAATTCCAAAAATAATTTAAAATATTCATGAGTAAAATTTAGTACGTTTTCAGAGTGGAGAACTACAATATAGTATAAAGCTAAAATAATTTAACAGCATACGTTTCACAAATATTGGGAAAATTAAAACATATTTCTTTTACGATACTAATTAAATGCTTGTCAAAAAATTAATCAAAATAAGTTAATCCTTTAAACACTAATACGAGTTTTGACGATTTTGAGATTACTTACATCAGACACCTCAAATCTAAAACAAATTTGGTGCCTAATTATGATTTATAAATTTCTTTAGTACCTCCTTTAACGTGTTTTGTTCAGTAATAACTGTAGTCAGAATGTTGCTCTTAAACTTTTACATTCCAGACAGCGTAAAACGGGGTGATAAAAAATATCACAATAGGCCTATATCAAGATAAAACAGAATAATAAACATATTGTGCACATACATAATAAGTTAGTGAGTAGGTATCCATATAAATAAAATAAATCCCTTTTTTGTTGGTGTTCCATAATTTGAGAACGAGTGCAACGAATTGGATGATTTTTGTTGTTGTGTTCCTTAGTGCCAGGGGAAGGTTTTTATGAAAGGCAATTTATAAATCATCGTACCATCATTTAATAATTTGATATTTAAAATTAAAAAAAAATCCTTTACATTAGCTCACTCACTTTAACCTGGAGGCGAGTGAGCGTAACGAACAAACTTCAACCAGGACGTGATTGAGCGATGCGTCTTGAAAATAAACGAGCATTTGACATAAAACCACATTAGGACAGGACGACGTCTGTCGGGCCAGCTAGTCTTTTAATAGTTATTGTGGTTGCGGGTCGTTTAATCTAATATATAAAATTCTCGTGTCACAGTGTTTGTCTGCAAACTCCTCCGGAACGACTTCACCGATCGTTATGAAATTTGGTGTGTAAATTCTGTAGGTATGCGAATCGGACGTAAACTATTTCCCGTTTCGAAATTCTTAAAAGGGCTCCGCCCCAGTGGCTCTGGAGTTTCCCATGTTAACCTTATGAGAAATGGAATTAATGAATATTAATAGCTGTTTCAATTAAACAAGTTGGTCCTGTTCTATGATGTTTAATAGCATTAAAGTGACAAGGATTACCAACAGGGTGCAGCACTATTATTTCTTTTACATTTATGACAACAGCTAATTTGCAACCAAAAGGTGAGTGAGCGTAGCGAACGAACTTCAACCTGGAGGCGAGTGAGCGTAGCGAACGAGCTAACCTGAAGGCAAGTGAGCGCAGCGAACGAGCTCCAACCTAAAGGTGAGTGAGCGTAGCGAACGAGCTCCAACCCAAACCTGGAGGCGAGTTAGCGTAGCGAACGAGCTAACCTGAAGGCAAGTGAGCGCAGCGAACGAGCTCCAACCTAAAGGTGAGTGAGCGTAGCGAACGAGCTTCAACCCAAAGGTGAGTGAGCGTAGCGAACGAACTTCAACCAGGACGTGATTGAGCGATGCGAACGGGATCATCTTGAAAATTAAACGTAACGGTACTTTCTTTCCATCGGTCTGTCTTAGGGGAAACCTATAACTTAGGCGATACGAAGTTCGCCGGGTCAGCTAGTAAATATATAAGAGCAAACGCCTTTGAATTTCAAACAAATTGTAAAATTTCACAAATTTTTTCTTAGTTTTTCTTCATGCACAAGTAGTATAAGAAATACAATTTAAGTTCAAATATACTATACAACAACTTGTAAAAGAAATATTTCTAGTTATATTCAAGTTCATTCACAAAATCGACATTAGCTAAGACATTTGCTGAAACAGGATTAGCTAACCCCAATTATTAGCATTTTAGCTTATAAATAAATTCAAAATTAATGCACTTTTTTTATAAGGAAGGATGTTATTCAATTAAAATGAAATAAATCATACTTTTAACCAAGTACTGAAGACAAAAAATGCAAAGATAAGCTGTAGCATGTTTTTTATTTAGTAAATGTGGTTAGATTTTATATTCATAGATGAGTTAATATTTATTCGCCTTCTGTTTGCATTGGCAAAGTGAACGCAGCACCTAAATTGCCTAGCTAGGGTAGTGAAGGGGCCGTGCGTTGGTTGACTAGTTCGAGGATAGCAACTTTTGGCATGACAACAATACTATAATAACTAAAAGTGCATTATTAGTGTGATACAAAAAGTCATTAAATTTAATTTAAGAAACAAAAAATTTAATCATTTAAACTAAGTTGGTATTACTGAATATTTAGTTTTTATTTTAGTTAGTTTTTATTGAACTGTTTTAAAATGCCACATAGGGGTCTTGGAGAGCCCTTAACTAAATTAGTTTAGAATGTATAAATATATATTTTGCACTTGTTTATTAATATCAATTTGTATCAAATATACATACACGAATACATAAATCATGCGATTAAAGATGTGTTCTAATCACAGTAACTCAAAGCCGAGGCAAAACATTAGGTAATATTTATTTTCAAGTTAAAAACTGTTTATAGGTCCCCACCAGTTAAGTCTTACTATGTTACACGTGCTACTTTTTAACATACACAACTGAATATAGAAACACAATTTTAAATTGAGAAATAACAAAGTAAACAATTGGAATTTTGTTTAGTAACACTAAATAAAACTATGAGTTTTAAATTAGGCAATACAATGTGTGTTTAAAAAACTGTCCTAATCACAATAACCTACAGTCCAGTCCATCGATATATAAACACAATGTATATAATAAATAGATATAGATATATAAACACAATAGCTATATAAACACAATAAACACAATCATCAATATTATTAATACGCGACATGAAACTTTGTGAACAATAAGGCTTTTTTGTTTTTAAATTTAACCCCACATATTATATACCAAAGTGTTTGTCTAGGTGTGTGGATGTGCAAACTGACTTTACCTTTTTACAAATTAAGGAACATGAGCTACAAACTGTTACTGACTTGGTTGAAATGAAATATTTACTATTTGGATCTGGGTTGGTGTAAAAATTACAATGGAATACTAATACGAAAACTGAATTACGACTGTGCTGCATTTCTTGAGTAATCATTGAAAGAGCCAATTTTCAAACTATGGAAACATAGGAAAGTCATATAAAATTACCAAGTAGAAGAAATAGAAATAATATGTTTTTAAAGAATTAATAATCGTTATTATGGTCAAACCTAATGCGGCTATGAGTGGGAAACATTTGCAGAAGACACTAAAAAACAAGATAAGTTTTTGAAAAATGATATTTACAAGAAATGTTGATTATATCGAACTCTTATGTGAATCGAGAGTATTTACAAAATCTTTGAGTCGACTTTTTTAAAATCTTCGGAAATTATGTCATTTTTAAAATAACGCCAGTAATACTTTGCAATTGCTCGAATTCGAGCAACAGGTACACTATTAGATATATAAACACAATATATATATAAACACAATTGTGTTTATATATCGATGGTCCAGCCAAGGCCAACACTCGTGCTTCATAACGGAGACACGATTCTACGGTTGACCCATTCGCTTTAGTTTATCAAGCTGGGTTCTTACAGGGTGCTTATTATTGTTTTAGCAATAATCTACTAAAACTTACAGCTAAAATTATTTTCAGTGACATAAAAATAGTCACGACAAAGAACATAAGCATATGGATACAAAAAAGTATTTTTAAAATTAACTCGATAGCTTTGCATATTCGCCATAATCAAAAAATATCCTTAGCTAATAATTTAAAACAGTCTTCTCACAAACATTCCTATTCACTTCGTCACCGCGTGCCACTTAAATTATTCATGACACAATATCAACTGAACAATCAAATAATATTGAAAGGACCAATGTAGACCAGCACACGGGTGACATAACCTAACAATGATCACTTTGCATAACTGGAACTGTAGGCCTGCTTGCTTCTCACGCCCACAGGGGCAATGAATAATCTATCAGCTGAGCTGCACGACTCCCGCGTAAACTAACCGCTATCTTTATCTTTCCCGCCAAGCCGCCTCCCGCCCAAAGAGACCCGCCGTTATTTACGAGCGTTATCACCGTTCGCATCTTTTATCTCTCTACTAATACGATAGGTGTTGAATTTGTATTTCGTGTGATGAACTTGCAGGGTTTTTTTGCAGAATATGATTGTTTTGAAGGATCTTTTTAGAAAAAAATATTTGCCATTCAATGTGGTTCATGTTTTGTTCATTAGTGATTGTATTACGACAAGAACAAATGCATTGAGCTCTTTGGTATAAATTTGTCGTCTGGTGTACCGTAAAATGCCCGTATCCGGTCCTAACATATTTACAGTGTAAGTAATAAAACAGAAACGAAAGATCTTGAAACACACGTTTGTTACAGATACTAGTCCTGTTGTCAGCAGTTGCTGCTACGTTAGCCGCGCCTGCTGGTCCGGTATACTCCACCCCCACAGTATACCACGCCACCCCCACCTACCATGCTGCCCCAGCCTATCACGCTGCCCCCACAGTTTACCATTCTGCCCCCACAGTTTACCACTCTGCCCCCACAGTGTCCTACGCACCAAAAGTGACATACTCCGCTGGTCCCGTAGCTTACCACTCAGGCCCGGCCTACAACGCCGCCGCACCCCCTGTGGACGAGTACGACCCCCATCCTCAATATTCCTTCGCCTATGACGTCCAAGATGCCGTCACAGGTGACGTCAAGAGCCAGCACGAGAGCCGCGACGGTGACGTTGTTCAAGGTGTCTACAGCTTGATCGAACCTGACGGTTCCAGGAGGACGGTGGAGTACACCGCCGACCCGCAAAACGGGTTTAATGCTGTCGTCCACAAAGAGGGTGGTGCTCAACCCGTAGCTGCGCAAGCGCATTACGCAGCTCCAACAGCTCACTACGCAGCTCCAACAGCGCACTACGCAGCTCCAACAGCGCACTACGCAGCTCCAGCGGCGCACTACGCAGCAGCCCCTACTTACGCATACCACCATTGATGAGTTATACCAAATGGAAACTGTAAATAGCTTTAACTTATTGTTTACTTTGAATTAAAATGATGTTATGATCAATTTTATGTTGTCAGTGTGTATGCCCGTAGAAATACAAGGCGACCGACAGGAACCGGGTGTTTTTTAAACAGATAGTATACGCGACTGAGTAACTGTCGCTAGGGGGTAGGGGTATCTTTCATATCTGTATATTATGCCATTTTAGTATCCATGGAGCATTAGACAGTACGATACTGCAGGCTCGCCTATGATGAGTATGTGTAAAATGGCGAGCTTATCACAGAAGCACAGAGATTTTTCTTAGTTAACGTTCATCTTGGACGCAATGATATCGTTTCCACCCAAAATTCGACTAATTCTTTGGTGGGTTGAGAATTTTTAGACAATGCGTTCTATCAGAGGAAAGAAGCCGCTTCCCCCCAAAAAAATACCGACGTTGCAGAATGTTGAAATGGCTAGGCAAGCTTTGATTTGTAACGTTTTGGTTAATTTCTGTGGCCCAAGGTTACCAGTGTGGGTAAAGTTTTCCGGTTTCTCAAATTTTGCGTCTCCCGATCCCTGGTGGATCTAGGAAACACAATTGACCAGGAAGTGGCGAGAATTAATAGTGACCGTAAAATGCTGGTACGTAAATTGGTAGAATGTAATCGTTTATAAGAAGATTAATAAATTTACTGAGTCCTGCATAAATGAAAGTGGACTCCACCCGACTTACATTGTTTTCCACAAGGGCATCTAATAAGTGTATGCAACCATGTTTAGTAAATAGTACAAATGTGTTTTTACATATGTGTATTGAATTGCAAGAGTTTACGTCATTTTAATGTAATAACAGTTTTAATTTACACAAAAACGAATGAGTAATGCTTATAAAAAAAAACTTCCAGTGTTTTGGTCACTGTGTATATACTTATAGAAGTCTCATAACGCATTTTAGGGTATCTCAAATTTTCGTGATCAAATATGCCGGGATCGAATACATACATCACGCACCGAAGTCCAAGACGCTATCACATCCATCTTACTCTAAAAAAAATTCACTATTAAGACATGTATCTAGTTTTTTTTGTTAAGAAAACTATATTCGAGAAGCCAAAGAGAAAGTGTTAATACAAACGCGTAGGTACTTCTCCTTATAAATATTAAGTAACGTAGATACATTACAGTTTTCTTACCGAGGCACACCTTACCCAGTGACCTCAAGCACCATTCAATTCAGTCAAAATTAAAATCTTCGTAACAATGCTGAACTCCTCCGCATCATAGCACAGTGTGTAGTCAAGGTTGTGCGATTATCACATAATGCCCAATCTACGCTGGGTCAAGTGACATCATCGCGCTAGTGGCGTATGCTTGTTGTCTGTCTGTTGTCTGTTTCTGAGGTCAATCACGCCTTCTACTGATCCGCATCGTGGCCTTGACATATATCAGCTGGTAACATTTGTATCAGCATTGTCTTCAGCGAATGATGCTGTTGTGATGTAAATCGATCAGTGAAGGTCCGGTCTGTGGTTGAGGAAGGTGGACGACTGATGATTGCAGGATTCGGTATTCGAAGAAAAAAGGAACTTTTTTTATGCTTGATATTACCAAAAGGGTAGTTTTGAAAAATAACAGGTGCAATTAAACAATAGCTAGGTAGTTATACCATTTTCAATTCTTTGTTTGTTCAATGAGCTATTATTCTCAAGTGCATTTCACACAGAACATAAATAACACTGTACTACCAGCATCTAATGGGTATAGCTAATATTTCACACATTTTACAAAATATATACGTACAAAATTATCAAAAATAAAAATGATTGCTACAGTTCTCACTGTCCAAAAATCCCACAATGAGCGCGCGCGTGTATGAGTGTGTGTGTGCGTGTGGTTGTAACCATGCCGCTGGGCGGGGCGGTTGGCGGATATTTGTTTAGCAGTCTGTTGACAATAGTTATCATTGTAATCAACGAACGTAATGACGGCAATCAAGTTTCCTTTCGCCCTGTGATTGCGAACTCAACCTAAATAGTTTTATTACACTAGCCTAGTTCCCGGGCGTATGTTTAGAAGCAAACTGATTCATACAGTAATACACCTACAAGAGTGTTAGTCAATACAAAATATCAGAAAACTCTCCTGTTTATTTCGCGTGTTCGGTCGACTATATTAACTATCCAGTGGTTAAATATTTGATAAATTGATGTCAAAAATAATCAAACATTTTGAGGGATTTGTTACTGTACACATTTAGGTCAAGACTTAGGGAATTTTTATAAAATAAAATAGAGTTGAAAAATCGATTAAGGCCTTCGAGCGATTCCAGAACGAGAATCAATATGTCTACACCAATATTAGAGTGAAAGTTTGGATGGATGGGTTTGTTACTCAATCACGCATTAACGGCTATCTGGAATTAAGATTTGCCACAGTTAGGATAGGAGTTATTACATTTCGTTCTATGACTATTTTGTTAACGTTGTATATTTTATTTTATTGCTTGGTTTCCACTACTACATTAATTACTTTTTTTAATTTGTTGCTTGAAATTCATTACTTTACTACAACTATTACTTATGATTTGTTTACTGCCCTTTGGATACGTATACCTATGATCACAGAAACCACAAAGAACATGTGGACCAAAATGTGCACATGATATAAAAAGGATGCAGTATCGTCCTGTATTCATGTATACCGGTAATCCAGTATTCATTTTTTTTATTTAAACTAAATAAGCCATGAATATACGAACACTAGGGGTAGTCAATTTTTCTTAAACAAACTATGTCACACAAGTCAATTTACACTACTGTACTTGTTATTTATATTGGAAAAGGATGTGTAAGCTTTCAATGCGAAGAAGAGGATATAAAATCTTTAAAGAGTTTGAGATTTCGTAACTTAAATATCGACAAATTCCAAAGTTATACAGAGATGTACTGCGTGGTGATCTAATCCTGGTAGTAAGTATATACGGTGGAAAATAGTCCTTCTAAGTATATTTCGAAACATCCTAAAATTGGTAATATTTTTTGTAAACAAATACATAACGCCCATTCTACTGACAAAAACATAGAAAGTAATCCGAATTGCAGGTCATAATTGGTTTCCGAAATTGGACCGAATTACAGCATTGCGGACCATTACTCCTAAATCGTTTTCGGGAAGAGTTCAGCGAAAACAGAATAAAGGTCTGAATGTTACCTCATATGAGCCATTACGGACTGGGTCTGTTAATGTGCAATTGTTACGGCTTAGCTTACACTCGCTGCAATACGAGAAATGCCGTGGCATTCTGCTTGATGTTCAGTGTAACATATCAGAACGTAGCTGCTTTTTAGTGTGGTACAATTGTAGAATAAAGAAATAAACAAAGATAGTAAAACATTGAGTTTATATAATAATTTGAATGCAATGGCAACATAAATCGTTCGACGACACCTTTTGGCAAGTTTATGTTTGAAGAACATAAAGATTCCAACGGTTGAAAGTTGTTTGGCATCGATTTTAGTTAACGTTCCCGATCAATTTGACGATCGAAGCCCACCAATAAAATTACCATTCCCGAAACGAGCCAGCTGAGTGTGGGAAATGCCTGTAGAATCTTAATTTACGATAAAAAACTGAGCTGATTAGAATACTAATAGCTTTACGTAGCCACCCAAATTTATGGAACTTGCTAAAACTTAGGTAGGGGTCACTTACATTAATGGTAACCAGGGATATTATGTAGAGGACCCTAGTACTCTCTTGTAAATCTGTATATTAATGTGATTGCGGCAAAGCTTTATTTTAAAGGTAACAATTACAATACAGTACAGTACAGACAATAATCAAGTCTATGGAAGAGTGCTGATGGGTTAAAAATACCCCCGCCGCAGCAAACCTGCCGTCTAAGCGAATTTCCATTTGTCCGAATTGATTTTCAATTGATCTATTTAAATAACATTATTAGGTTTAACGAGTACCTAGGTTTGCTGCTACAAGGAAACTAATAAAGTAGTGTGTTTTTAGTAAAATATTGATAGCTTACTATAAAATAAATAAATTTGCCAACTTTGATCAAAATATATCCATAAACAAGCAAACTACAACATTTTACAATATTCTCCATAAGAATAACATGGGAATTTTAAATTTACCAATTTTTAGTTTTCTCCGTAACCAATAACCGTACAAAAACACTTTGATATACTGAATTGTTTGTTTTTTTAAGCTCTTTAAGAAGGTTTAGAGAAAAATTGGGAAATTTTGTGTTTTGAGGGTAAAAAGTGAGAAAAACCCATTTTTACCCCATAAAACCCCCCATAAAACCCTGTTCCCATGGTCCGATCATGCTGGATCGCGAACTCATTCAAGTTTATCCCGCCTTACACCTTCAAACCAAATGTCATCAAAATCGGATAAAAATTACTCAAGTTATCGTGTTCACGGACACATATATATATAAATCTATATATATACCTATATATATATATACATATATAAAAATTTGAACGAATGGTGTTTTTGGCCTCTGGGGACATTAAAATGAAAAAGTAAATCGGTCCCGGGCCTAAGTCTTACCATGAGACCTACGGTAATAGCTACTTCCCTATAGGGAAATTCGCTAAAATGTGTTAACACACACACACAACCCGTAAGGCTTATTCGGGAATGTTTTTCTTAAGTATATCCAACCACACAATCTCGAATACACATCAAATGCACTACTTACGTGAAAAAAATCACCCCCGTATTACCTAAAACAAAAATAATAAAAATATTAGTTGAGAGCGTAAAGTGAAATTATAGAGAGTATAAACGTTCAGTAAATAAAATATACACGCTAATGCATGAATTAATGTGTACATTCAACATGTTCAATATTTAATTAAAATGGGCCTGGTGAAATCTACAGTAACTGAACTTGTTTTCAAACTAGTAGCTTGCTTTCTCCCATATCTAAATACAATCATTCTTAAAGAATGTGCATCGATAATATTTAAGTATTAATTAAATTTTACAAATATAGTTCTAAAAATATTGATTTAGAAAAAAAAAACTAAACAGGTGTATACTCGGATTTACAATGACTAATGGATGTATGATTTATGGGAGATTATTAGTTGAATAAGTGTCAGCATAATATTACAAACAAATTTATTTTGTTTAAATTGTCAACTATCATTCCTAGCATTGGAATGTTATACGAACTCAAATATTCTATGGGATAACACAATAGTACTTCTCGACACTATAACCAACGTCTGTCAAAGGCTGAAAGACTTTCTATCAGAAACCCGTTAGGAAGATGCATTGGGTGCAAAAACGCTGGTAATCCTCGCGAATCGTGAACCCATTGTGAGCTTTCACGTAACAGCTGTTATATTGGCAAGGACGACAATCTATAAACTGGGTGTAATAAATTAGGTATTGCTATTCGGGAGCGTGGCCGATCAACAATGAAGTTCGTCGAAAGGCGTCGTGGAGCAGCCTTGGGCATATTTGGGCCCCTCATGCAGTAAGCATGCGTGAAATGTGCATCAGTGCAAGGACAAGAGTTAACGGCATGTAACCTGTTTATTACTGCATGAAAATGATTATCAAACAAAATGAAAAATGTGGTAAAAAGGTGATAAACAACAGATCAGTGCGGAGATACAAGTGTTAAAGGACATATCTAGTCTAGAGCCATTCAGTTTTAATCAATGGGACTTCATCAATATATATATATATATATAATAGTTTAAAATAATAGGTAATTAAATATAAAATATTAATAAGAAATACGAAATATTTAAAGATACTGTCGAATGGATTCGTTACGATTTGACTGTCACAGCCTAACGTATATTTGATTTTATCTAGATTACATACAGTTGTAAATCCATAATATTAGGTATATATAAAACAACGCAGTTGTCACAATCATTCTAATTTTAATCTATGACACTCACTTTAAAAATACACTTACTAACTAGGTGTCTGTCTCATCAGTACAGCTTGAACAGTACAACATATATTTCTTAACAAAATCTTTAAGATATGTTGTGAATCGATTCACCATCGTAACTTGCTCTTTTCAAAGCAGTAGACCAACAAGTTAAATTAAAACAACAACCGCAACTTAATAAGCACCTTTTCAGACTGGACAAGTTATGAAAACTCAAAGTGATTGAGCGAAACCAGTTTACTGTAGCAACCACGACCTACGTTTACTTACCGTACAGGAAATGTGTCATTTAACATAACCTGTGATTATTTTCATAAGTTCAAGTGGCATTTGTGGTAAAACGCTGGATGAATGACTCTTCAATGAGACATTATCAGCAAACCAAAGGGGTTACCCTATTGGGTTTTACATACATTGCAGAAGTGCATACACAAATATTTACAATTATGTTCGACGATTCGAAATTTAACAGAAATCTGGAATGACATCGTGGGTTTTATTGAAACATAGGTAAATCTAACTAACACTGCAAATATATTTTTCAAACCCTGACAGCATATTGTACCACCTACAAATTTGTTGTCAATATCAAAAGCTAACTGATTGTCTTTTCCTACTATTTTAAATACACAACATTATGACTAATAGTTTAAATTCATTTTCTTAGATTTTAATTTGAATTATAATTATAGTTCAGTAGTAAGCGATTCCATCATTACGACTACTACCATTAAACAACCCAGCTACTGTAATTGCATGTAGCAAAATATTTTAATCAATAAAAAAAATTAATAATTACTAAGGTTTTAGTAATCTCCAAAACTTACAATTCTTGCTAAAAAATAACAAGCTGTCATTTTTTGACTCAGAACTAATGTGTATATTTTTAATTTGACAGAGAGTTTTTTTTTGTAAACCTTCATTGCCTTTTCACTACTGTTTTATTTGCACAGATATTAATATCCATCTCATCAGTAACGTACACATATTTGAGATATACATTTTGATAACTGTAAAAAGGAAAATCAGGAAAAACATCTGTTTGGACTAAAAACGCAAAATAAAATCTATATAAATAAAAATGAATCCCTTTTCTTTATGATATTACATAATTCGAGAACTCTAGTGCTAGGGGAAGGTTTTTATGTAAGAAAATGTATAATCCATCCTACCATTATTTATAAGTTTGATTTTTAAAAATAACAAATTTCATATACATTAGCTCACTCAATTCAACTTGGAGGCGAGTGAGCGTGGCGAACGAGCTAAACCTAAAGGCAAGTAAGCTCAGCGAACGAGCTCCAACCAAAAGGTGAGTGAGCGTAGCGAACGAACTTCAACCAGGATGTGGTTGAGCGATGCGAACGAGCTCATCTTGAAAATGAACGAGCATTTAACATAAAACCACATTAGGACAGGACGACGTCTGTCGGGCCATCTAGTCATTAATATTATACTGACCAATCTTTGTGTCGTGTATTTTGACAACGGAAAATTTATTTCAGGAAGGTAAAATCAAGAAAATATCTGCATGTGAAAGAAACTATCAAAAAGTAAATAAGTTATATTCATTCTTTTAACACCTAGTTGATCGTACCATCCTTGTATTATAATTTTTGTAACAAAAACAAGCGTTTACTACACCCAACCTGTAACCTACTTCACACGATCTCAGCACATCTTCCTGGACTGTTTGCATTTACATACGATGGCCAGGTCATGTGTGTGGTAGTGTATGGTCGAGGGAGGGATGCTAACGGGTGAAAGGAGCCTTACAATGGTCAACCTATATAAACTGATCGCTGTGTCCAACGCTCAGTCCACCAGACCGGCCGACTCAGCAGACATGACATTCAAGGTAACTCTTATCACTGATAACTGATAACACTGGGCACGCCCTTGTACTTGCTGGCAAACTGCCACGAGTACGTCGGGGTCAATGGTTTTAATTGTAAACAACCATTTGTTTGGTATTTATTTGTATTCGTTTTCTTATTTTTGTACAATTCGAAAAGTAAACAAATTAAAGTAGTAAAAGATTACTAAATTGTAAATATTGTTCGATAGTGGTGTATTTAGCTATTCTAAAAATATCTAGTAAGTTTTTCAGAACACTAAATGAAATGTATTCATTGACGTTGTGTTGTACTGCTATGGAATTGCGCCAAGATAAATTCAACAGTGTTCTGTCCACATATTTATAGAAGCAAGTGGCATAGGAGAGTACCAAGTCTTTTATTCCAAAATAAAGCAGCGTTGTGGCTAAATATAATACTAAACACTAAATTTTATTTTAGGATGTAAGTGAGTCTGATTTACAAAGAATCGATAGGACGTGAACGTTAACTGTACCTAAATTATTAAAAGAATTTGTTGGATTTTTGTATTCAGGAAATCGACAAATAAATATTTATTTTTTAGGCATATCGGGTACCAATTTAAAGCTCTTCTCTAGATGTGTATTTTGCCAGTTTGGGTGATATCTCGTGAAGGCCCTTCGTCCTATAGGCCTAGGCTTTTAAATTCCAGAGTTTGTAACTTTGAATTCTGTTGTCAATCATCTAAACTTTTTCAAGTTTACATCAAAACAGATGGCCATGATACAATTTAGTTTACATCCATACGGAAATGGGGTTATCATTACAGTTGGTGATGTTTTAGTGAGTTCAAGTAAAATATTGTAATGCTATTTGTATAAAATGTGGAGAAGAAAATTACTTGCGTTAGATTTTGTGTTTTCGTAGTATGCTTCATTAGTATTTGTAATGTTTCCAAGATGCCCCGAAGAGATCGCGCACGCAATGAAAATAGTACAAAGTTATGTTTAGGGTTTGCTTGGAAAAATTACAGTCAGTGATAAGTTAATAATTATCACGTAAAAATAGAGAATTTTCAATTTAACTCAAAGCAATAGAAAATTGTAAATTCATACAATTATATCCCGGATTTTGAAGTTTCAAAGTGGCGCTTGCTGCTAGTTTAACTTAAGGTGAATTTATCCTAAAGTACATTTTAAATTGAAGTCGTGGTATAACGGTTTTAGCAATTAGGTTTTTAGATATAAAAAATAAATCAATTAATCCTTAATAAGTTGTAAACATTAAATATCTTATCATATCTAAATCTCAAACTATAAATATAGCATTAGTACAATTTATAAAGGTGACAAAATCCAATTCCTATACGGTAAAAACATTGTAACAAGTTAAAGTGTAATTGTTATACTGTAAAGTTATAAAGTAAAGTAAAGTAAAATGTTAGGATTTTTTTAACAACAAATATTATTAAATAGTTAAACCAACTTACAAAAACAATCCACTAACCCTATGTATCAAATGTTCAAAATAATTTTACAACTGTTGACAAGAAATTTCTCGCGTGCTTAAGTTCGTAAATACGTTGAGTAGATGACGACCAATGAAAAATGTAATTATAAATGCTGTAAGTAATCATTTATGTAAACGTATTATTAAGCAAATCACCTCATTACAACTAGTTTTATCCCTTTACCTCCCTCCCGTGTTGTTAATTTCACTTTTAGCTTGTCACACTCGTTTTAACAGTGTTTGAATTTAACGCTATTTTAAATTTAACCCTTGAGGGTTATACAAATAAGTGGTTTTTAATAATTATTCCTTAAATTCCTTTTGTACCTATGTAAATCACAATTGCACATACAACCATAAATATCTTATAAAAATATTTTATTAAACTGCTTTTGACTATATTCCAGACATATAAATTTGATTTTCCATCCCCTAAAAATTATAATTGTAGTTTTTAACTAGCTCCTTTTAGAGTTGACACTATAATGTTTTAACTTCATATATTAACAATTATCACCTTTATCGTAAAAGATATAAAGATGAAATTCACATTAATGTTTATTCGTCACTTAAAGTTTTAAAATTGCAATATCCAATGGGTAACATATAAAACAATATGTAGGGTTTTAAATAACCATCTCCTAATTATTTCGTCATTTTATATAAATAAGAGACATGTATTTTCAAACATAGATAGCGGAAAAATACATCATCACCTAAATTATGGAGTTAAAACAGCACTCAGTATTCCAAACAACAGGATTGGTGATAATGTGTGTTAGACTCATCGGTCTATGATAACATTGATGTATAATGTTGAGTACCTATTATACATCGATGGCTAGACTACTGATAGAAGTACATCATTAAGACTATGTCAAGTAAAATTTCTTCACCAAAAACAATTAAAGTGAAAAATACACAAATAAAAATATACTATCCCTCCGATTTACAGCATTAAAATCCATGACGTCATCACTACTCATCATTCCCAATCAGTTTAATATAGCCACTTATCAATTACATAAGTGCGTGTGATCGCAATGTTCTAATAGCATTCCACAAACGGAGTTCTACTATCGACCCCAATAGGCCGGAAATTAAGCGCAATCTAATGACCGAATATTCCATAATAGCGGTCAATGACTGTAGGACCGGTTCCGCGACAGACAACCAGTTGTGCTGCAGACAACCGGTTCCGCATCGGCGACCCAGTTCTGATGTGGCGGCAACAGTGGAACTCGAGATGAGATGCCATCTGTTGTCTAACTGGTTCACCGCCCGCCTACTCAACGGTATCACCTGTTTATGTTGACTTTCCTTTCTCTCTCATACATTTTTGCTAGGATTAACGGGAAGGGAAACCAGTTTAAATTTTAAAAGATAACAAAGTTGTTATTAAAATATGTTTGTGTTAACAATGAATGTTTTAGCTGGTTTGATATATGCATATGTAATCACAAAGCGAAAATTAAAAACGCCGATCCATTGGTTGAGTGGGGACCATCAGTTCCCGAGGTTCCGGGTTCAAACCCTGCCAATTACCAATGACTTTATGCTTTGTGAAAATTATTTGACTCCTTAGACAAAGGTTGGAGTAAATTAAAAAAAAAGTTCCAAGGTAAGACCGAGCGTTCGTGTATGTAAAGGTATGGGGAATTTTACATGCAATGTTTAAAGAATTCTGAACAAACTAAGTTTCTAGAAGAATACAAATAATTGTTACTTTTCCCAATATTTTTCGTTGTATAATCGACCTAATAGCAGTAGGAATTGCGTAAAAATCAGGTAACAAATATTTACTGTTTTGCGATTATGAAAAAAGCAGTTCGAACTTAAAGCGGTCTAAACAATTGATTAACCAAATCAAATTAGTATGTTTGACTTTTCTGGAGCACAAATAAAACGTTGTTTAACGCCAAATGTTTTTTGATTTTCCAGGTGTGTACAGCGGTCGTGCTGCTGGCAGCGACGGCCAGCGCCATCTACGTGGAGCCCAGTTATGGCGGTAAAAGCGCTTACTCTTACAAGCCTGCACCCGCCTACCACGCACCCGTCTACGCGCCAAAGCCCGTAGCCTACGCACCAGCCCCAGCGTACCACGCACCTGCTCCAGTGTACGCACCTGCCCCTGCCTACCATGCTCCAGCATACCATGCGCCTGCTCCTGCATACTACGCTCCAGCTCCTGCCTACCATGCTCCGGCATACCATGCGCCTGCCCCTGCCTACCACGCACCTGCTCCAGCATACCACGCACCTTCCTACGCTCCTAGCCACGGATACAAGGAGGAGCCCTACGATCCTCACCCCAAGTACTCCTTCGAGTACGGAGTCAACGACCCCCACACCTACGACATCCACAGTCAGAAGGAGGAGCGCGACGGAGACGTTGTCCACGGGTCCTACAGCCTGGTCGAGCCTGACGGTTCCAAGAGGACTGTGGAGTACACTGCTGACCCTCACAACGGATTCAACGCTGTCGTCCACAGAGAACACAACTCACACCCATCCTACTCTCCTAAGCCCTACGCACCCTCCTACCCCGCCCCCTCGCATTATTGATGTGATATAGCTTAATCGAGTTACCAATGTCTTCCTCGACTGTTTGTATACTGTGTATAAAGTACAATTAGTTTTAGGTTGTTTTGTGTGTTTTGTATTAAAATTTGAATGTTTATTTAAATTTGCTTAGTGTGTTTTGTTTTATTCCAAGTTTCTTATTAGGCATATGGGAAAGGGTTCACATTTGATTTAGATAATTAACAGCCATGATCGAGCACAATAATTGTCACGCATTTCATTGTGCAAAGTTATTCTGTAAGGTTAGTTTGGTTGGATTCTTTAACACAATCAGGCAATGTTTATAGCCGCAATGACAATTGACTAATATCCCTAACTCAAAAAAGTATACTTTTATTTTTTTAATAAGTTGAGTAGCTTTATCACCATGTAGTGAGTTGCAAAATTGTGTATATAATCAAAATCATGAAATAATTTGATTAAAATGGTAAAGTTACGTTACAAGGAATGATACACTGGGGGTTCTTTGGCTCATCATCGCGGTTACTTAATCATCACAAAATACCATCGTTGTTTAAGGTATGAAATGATATTATTTGCGTTTTTTTGTGTGTTAATGCTCCAATATTTATTAAGTCCAATATTTAAAGAACAATTATTTAGCCTTCAATAATTATTTGTTATCAGCAAGGGAATTTACAATGAGAAAATGAGTAAAAACCCCAACGTATTAAATTGACTATTTAATTAAATTACAGTATTGTAATCGACTAAGACCTTGGCAAATAATGCCTGTAACACCAGTACATGCAGTTCAGGCGCAGCTAGGCAATCTAGGTACTGCATCCATGTTGCGTTATATTCTAGAAGGCGTTGGCTCAGCGTACAGTTGTGACTTATCTGGTGCGATATACCTTACTTAAGACCGCGAATACACATGTTGGTAATGTAAAAAAGTTAGAATATTTTGGATTAGTAAGAGAAGTTTTATATACGGTATTTACATTGCGTTAAGCTATATTTATATTCCTAATACAAACATACGAAACTTGAGCAATTAAATTTTATTGTTTAAGTACTTTTGTATTAACTTAATATGATCATAACAAATGAAAGTGATCGACAGTGTTTGTGTATCTGTAGCGCCAATTACAAATTTCAATTGTATAATTACATAAGACACATGAAAGCTTAAGCCTCTTTCTAATTCAAGAACTGGAATGAGCTAAGGATGATACGGTCAGTTATTCTCATGGTTAATCACCTCCAAATATATAAACCCCACTGTTTACCTTAACCCTAAGTCATAGATTTATTCAGGAAGTGTTGGCTTATTTTAAACGTTGCTACAGTTGAGCAGACCAACAGTGTATTATAAAATACATTACATTTATATACATTCCAAACTAATGGATTGGGTTTTACTAAATGCAAAAATTATGCCGTTCTTTACATTTTGCATTACTATTTTCTACGTTCGAGGAAAAAGTAACAAGAAATATTGTTAGTTTGTAATATCGTCATATGATAACATAAAAGCTAATGATATAGTGAAGCACAAGTAAATTAATACCTTAGCTACTTGTATTGAATATATTAAATATAATAACAAAAATAGCTTATTCAATCGAAGTAATAAGAACAATTGATGATTTTAATACATAAGAACTTACAAATCTTAATATAAAATTCACTAACATAACACAAATAGTTCATTGTTATAGGAACTCAACAAAGGCCAAAACTTGATTAAAATGCTAATAAGATATAAATCTAAAACTTCACAATTTACGCTTATTCTTTTAAAATAATTTAAACAAAATTGATACGCAACAAAAATAGTCACATTTTTCGTATGAATACAGCAAAGCAAGGCTGTCCTCATTAAACATCTCTCTAATTCAAAGACACTATTCCTAAAACCACAGATCAAGATTGTACAAACAGCAGATAGACAATCCAAGGCTGGTATATCTGGGTCCCAATCACCGGGGTGCGGACCACAAGGCCACACATACGTCATACTAACAAGCAGGGAGCGGCGTGGGGTGTAGATAGGTGAACAATGGTACGTACTTGACCTAGTAAACTGTCAGTAACTAGCCATACTGCGCCTATAGCTTTACTTTACAGTAGCACTGAATAGAATAGTGTGGGTATAGATCAAGATGTATGGAGTACTTTTGGTACTTTCCTGTTAAAGGGAACATTCATTATTACCGATGATCATAATCTTCGATATATCGATAGTTTTGTTTTCCATCCGATATATTGATAGTAACAAATTGAAACATATCAGCTGACAAGTACGATATAGTATACAGTAAATAAATATTGTTCAGTATCAACAAACAATTAAAAAAAAATATTAGCCTATATTGAAATGAAACTGTTCTAAACTAACCTAACCAACCAAACTTGCTGTAACATTTCAAAAATCAGTTTGATAGCCTATTCCCCGTATGCCTTTTCTCTTCTGTTATCAAATGGAATTTTGAAACGGTAACTTAGCCTATACAGCAAGTTTGGTTAGTTATGTTAGGTTAGTTTAGAATAGTTTCATGTCCTAATCCAATATATAGGCTATTATTTTTGCCTAGACAAGGTTAGTTCTTAATTTGTAATTTAAATGCGTTTGAAGATATTAAAACAGAAGGAATACCAATCGTGAAGTAAAACAAAAATAACGATATATCGAAAATAAATCATCGATAATAATGAATGTTCCCTTTAACAGGAAAGTACCGTACTTATACATCTTGGGTATAGATGGACAGCTTTAGTGGATATAGAGCTCGCCCAGTATCAGAAGGTGCCGGTCCTATCCTCTACTGTCCAGAATTGGGCCCAGTTACCATTGATAAATGAGCGTTTACTAAACGACCCCGGCTGGGTAGCTGAGTGGTTATAATGCTCGCCTGGAAATCAAAAGGTTGCTGGATCGATCTTGAGTAAAATAGCTTTTTATAGTTCGAAGCTGGATCCTGACCATTGGGCTTTACGATGATCTTGGCTGGTGAAATTGCTGATCTTAGTCAGTAAAAATCCACACAGATCATACTACATTCTACACTAATTAATCACTTACTTTTGGGTTAAAAGTATGCACCTAGGTGGGGTTCCTGTTTTAATTGATAAAGATAAAGAACCTCCGGATAAATTCTGTAATGGCTTTACTCATATATTGACATTTGTTACATAAGCTATAGCTTAATCATAATGTGGCAATCCACCTCACCATGATCTCGTTTCCTTTAACAATGGGTATTATTTAATTGATTAAATATTACATAATCACTTACGACTTTATAATATTTAGGTAACTGTTATCCGACAAATTTGAAACCCCCATAAATAAAAGGTTTACAGTAGTAATGTATGTAGTCATTTAGTTTGTTATTTGTTTTGACAAAATGTTATTCTTAGGATAATAAGTAGTAAGTGTTTAAGTAAAGATCTACATGTAGATAAAATGTAGCATGATGTCTTAAGTGGACAAACGCCATTAAATTCAAAGGTACAGCTCGCTTCGTGGAAAAGGAATTTCTTCCACACACAAAGATCGTGGACCACTTGCATCACGCGTTTACAATAATCAAGGCGACCGCTCAGTAAGGTGCGTTAGAGCCTTGTACGTAGGGAATATTAAAGAGTGTACAATGAATATACTATCCTTAATTTTGGCTCATTCTTTTACAAAGCGAGGAATATTTAGTGTAGGATATTGTTTTAAGGCATAGCTATTGTTATCCACAAGAGACGCAGTAATAGGTATACATTTAATTTCCAATTTATAATTTTTCCTATGCAAGTTTTTAGGATTTGTTTTCTAGCCGACAAGTTTATTCAAGAATGTAAAAAAGTGGGTTTGGAACTAAATGAGGAAAAAACCAAAATAATAAAGTTTGGACGACATCCCATCAATAGAGGCACCAATTTCAATATAGCCAACTATTTAATTGAACCAGTAGAAAGCTTTAAATACTTAGGAGTTACTATAAATAGCTTTAACATAGAAGATACAGAAATATTAGGTAAGTTAGCAAATGCCAATAAATGTTTAGGTGCATGTATGAAGCTCCTGTCATCAAAACTCCTATCATCTGATACAAAAATAAGAATATATAAAACCATTATTCAACCAGTATTATTGTATGGAAGCGAGACCTGGGTCCTATCCAAGAGAAATGAAGGACGCTTGATTGTTTTTGAAAACAAGGTCCTAAGAAAAATATTCGGCCCAGTAAACGAAGAAGGAGAATGGCGGATTAGAAAAAACAGAGAGCTACGAGCGTTATACCAGGACCCTGATATAATAGCTTTGATAAAGGCAAAAAGATTAGGTTGGCTAGGTCATGTATTGCGAAGGGAAGAAGGAACAAGACTGAAGGAAGTATGTTCTGCTGTACCAACTGGAAAGCGTCCACTGGGTAGACCAAAAATGAGATGGTATGACCAAGTTCAGAGAGATGTGAGTCAGTGTGGAGGGACAGTGGAGATGGCAGAGGACAGAGAAGCGTGGAAGAGGCTGATCTACGAGGCGAAGAATCGACTGCGATTTGTAGCGCCCCAGCAGTAAGTAAGTAAGTAAGTTTTTAGGAACAACAAGAAAAACAAATTCAGTAAGGAAAGACATGCATTAAACTGACGGGAACATACAGATTGCTTGTATTAAAAACTATATTATGTAGGACATTAACACATTCAATATAAAGTTGAAGCATACATTTTTCATTAATTGTAGGGGGTAAAGTTTTTCCCGTAAGATTTATTCAGAGTTATACGAAAAATGTATACTTTAAATTTATATTAGACTAGCTGTTGTACCCGTTCTTCGCAACGGGAAGAAAAATCAGTTTCATAAACATTGAATTAGATTTAGAATAAATAATCTATCATAAAATTTTAGATTAAATATTAATACCACATTGTTGTATACAATATATTTTGTTTCTTTGCATCGTATGTCTAAAATTTTGAAATAGGCAATTTGGCAGTTCTGCTTGTTTACATTGAAATGTCAAAGCAAAGGTAAACGCTGTGAATTTTCTCATGCTTCCATGGAGACCAATTAATATTTAATTTTGAAAACCTCACCTCAAAACTTTCGACATCCAAGGGGCGTAGTCTGAGAGGAACCTGTGTTTTACTATCTTCCCTGAGGAAGATAGTAGTTTGAATTTATAAAAAAATATATCAATACCTAACAGTATTTTCATAACATTAACATTTTAATGAGTCGAAAGCAGAGCCTGGGTTGATACAGCAACGGTTATAGAATCTTTTTTCCATATTTAATTACATAGTTTTAGAATAAATAAACCTGCCACGTAGTCGTGTAAAATATTATATTTAATTTCTTTTGATAAGCTGTCTGAAATAAATTGTGAAATAAGCAATTTAACAGTTCTGATTGTTTACATTGAAATGTCAACGCAATATTGTGAATTTTCTCATGCTTCAATTAATATTTACTTTTGAAAACCTCACCTCAAAACTTTGGACATCCAAGGGGCGTAGTCCGAGAGGAACTCAGGGAAGTGAATAGACTTATGTTATTCCTAGATATGTGGACCATCTTTGTATTTAATTTTGGCTGTATCTGTTTAGTATTTTAGTCGTGACAGCCGTCCAGACAGATGCCACCTCATTTTTAATAGTACAAGCTGATGTACCCGTTCTTCGCAACGGGAAGATGTACTCTATCGCCTAATCCAAACACTTGTTCAATAGTTTAAATGTATAAACAAAAAACCACTAAATTTATACAAAAAGAACCTTCATAATAATATTGTCCTACTATTTACATGAAAATATGTCAATAATACTATTTTTATAGCATTGACACTATAATAAGTCGAAAGCAGAGCCTGGGTTAATACAGCAATGGTTATAAAATATTTTTTTCCATAATCAATTACATAGTTTTAGAATAAATAAACCTGCCACGTAGTTGTGTAAAATATTACATTTATTTTCTAGCTGTCTGAAATAAATGGTAAAATAAGCAATTTGGCAGTTATGCTTGTTTACATTGAAATGTCAAAGCAAAGGTAAACGCTGTGAATTTTCTCATGCTTTCATGGAGACCAATTAATATGTACCTTTGAAAACCTCACCTCAAAACTTTCAACATCCAAGGGGCGTAGTCTGAGAGGAACTCAGTGAAGTGAATAGGCCTATGACATTCCTAGATATGTGGACCATCTTTGTGCTTAATTTTGGCTTTATCGGTTTAGTATTTTAGTCGTGACAGCTGCCCAGACAGACAGACACCACCTAAATTTTATGATAGTATAAATAGATGGATAGGTGTTTTAATGTTTGTTGTTTTTAAGTAATATTTTACATACTGGAGCACACAAGATTACATTTTGGTTGGATTCAACAGGTTTGGATTTTGAGAATGAAATTATCTCAATTTAATAACAGTTAAATCTAGTGTTTCTATATATCTTTTGATACAAATTATCCCAAAAACACCAATAGTAACAAAATCTGTTTCCCTCTTGTATTGACCAAAAATAAATATGACGCACATTTAAAATAATTGCTTCACTCTCACAACAGTTACATATGCGTTGCGTGGTTGCAATCTCAAACGGTTTATAGACCGTATCCATACATCGGTCCCTACGGTGTACAACGCACCAATAAACCATATAGGGGAAGGCAACACGCAGGCAGCTGCGCACGCTTACATAAGTAGAACCAGGAAAGCACGGCGCATGCGCACAGCCCGATAACACTGCATCGACGCTGCGGATATCTTATCTCACTGGAGCTCACACATTGCATGGTGCAATGACAGCCCATCACTTGAGCCGAAGAACAGATAACGCTTGAGTTAATGGGTTAAACGTCGCCCCATATTTCGAAACAATAAAGCAAACGGACCGCTCACAAACAAAAACATTTTTTTTTATTTGTCTCTGTGCATATTTTGTATAAGCAACAAATCATGGTTAAAAATAAAATAATTTTTTAGAGAGAGTAATAATTTGTCATCGTTGTAATAGTTGTAAATTCGAACGGATTGGTTTGTAGTTCTTTAGAATTAGGTTAAGAGATGTGTGAATTTACAACAATAACACGATGATAAGTTATTACTTCTCTGATGAGTTATTTTATATTTAACCATGATTTGTGGCTTTTTAAAAAAAACGCATAGAGACAAATTTAATAAAAGATGTTTTCGTTTGTGTGCGGTACGTTTGCTTTGTTGTTACGAAATATGTTACGTTTAACCCATTAAATCAAGCGTGGGCCAGAAAAAAAAACAATAAATGCCCGATAACCTTTAACCACCTGAACCTTGGAATCACCAACAGAGCAAATTATTTAGTTTTAAAAAACTGCGACATGGTAAAATACTGACAACGGTCATGCAGAGCGACGAGATAGAGTTTACAAGATGTATGCCACATCAAAAGTAAGCTCTTCATCAAAGTAAGCTCTTCATAAACTTGTATTCAGGAGTACGAGTAGAGGTGCGATTGCGAGATCTGCTCCCACAAAATTAGCACAAACCTCACAAGAACGAGAAACCTAGTTTACAACCAATTTTTAAAGTTGTTGACAGTATTATTGTACGATAAATACGAGAATAATTGCCAATATCAATCAATCTGTTTACAATGAAAATCAAATAACAACACTTGAACTCACAACATGCACCACAATGGTATCAGAGGCCCAATCAATACTTGATGCCCTTCCTATGTGTCACATCCACATTAGTTATTTGAAATGAAAATATAAGCTCTGGAATACTTTATACGTGTGCACCATTAGTTTCCTCTTGTTATACCCTATGATTCGATTTACTAAAAAATACTAACCGGTTAAGTGGAATAACTGTATCTCCAGTATGCATGTAATTGTACTTTACACCTCAACTAATTATTTAGTTTAATTTTCCTTTTCATAAAATATTGTTAGAGTAAAAATATACTGTGATTTAAAATTTTTATATTTTATACATATGATGAGTTTCAGCTACTGCTAAATTCCCAAAATTGTAGTAGACAAGCTCTAGTAAGACAGTGTAGTAAATTATTTTTGAAGAGGACCCTTTAAAATAAAAACCCCCATTCCTCACCATTGTTCTATACAAAGAACTTTTCGACCTCCTAAAACAAGATTCACATCTGGAACGAGCAAAGAATAAAAAGTTCGCTCCTTAACTCTTCAAACGTTTCAACGTTTCAAAGTTTTCTGATATTTATCACTATATATCTTATAATTATTGAACTATACAGTACACATATCTCTAGCGAAATCAAATTCCGTTTAAAATATGAAATAAAATAAAGAAGATGAAACTTTGTTTGTCTATAATGATATTTGAAGTTATTTCCTTTGAGCTCCCAACCGAATAAAAACATTACATTCATTTTGCAGTGTCCAATGACATTTCTACTTAAAAAGCAAGAAAAGAGCATTTCTCTCCCGTTTTCAAGGATCAAGTAACCTTTGAGTGGCGACAAAAAGCTGTCAACACAACACGTAATGCTGCTGTACGTGTTGAGGATTACGACAGTTCAATAAAGGCTTAGACAGGTGAAAGTCACCGAATACTTTTTAATTAGGGAAGCAGAGTATAAATATAGTAGGAAGTTATGTGGTGTTGTAGTGCCAGCGTTGTTGAACAGAGTGTGGAATACAGTGGACAGTGAAGGATCATGGTGGCTAAGGTGGGTGTGTGTAGTAAACGCTGGTGATCAGTGATCGATTTGTGATTCTTGTGATAAGTTAGAGTATTGTGTGGTATAACTGTTTCGAGTATGTTTGTGTAGAATCAATCAATTAATCAATCAATCAATTATTTAAGATGAGGACACCACTATGTCCGTATTTTGACCCAAATATGAGTGAATGATGTGTGTGGGATGAGTGGCGTGATCTTGTAGTCTTGTTAGTGACTAAGGCCAACATATTCCTTAGACACAGCTGTTAATTAATAGCCCATACAGCTAATGGCAACTAGGGGACCTACAGTTTATAGTGGAATCCGAACCACATTTTTGCATTGGTATTAACGAATTGATATAATTATCAGGATAGTACGATGTTGGGTATACCATATCAATTCAATGACCACAACAACAGTACGTCACGCATGGCGAATTACAAAAACAACATCATGTTTTGTGTGATATAGATCTTTGTAACATTAATATAAATGAGCCTAATAAATGTGAACTTGGTTAGAAAGCTTGCAAACTTACCCCCTACGCTGTATTGTCAAGCAAATACTATTCTATTATTAGTTGTGTACACATATAGCCAGTCACGATTTATGTGAAAATACTATTTAAAGGTAAAATTATTATTGAAAAGTACTTAGCATTATGTATCATACTGGTTACTATTGATAATGATGAGTTGTGTTCATAGTAGGTTACAAACATATAATTTATAATGATAATTCTTCTGCATAAATGTTTATCGGATAAGTTATAATGCAAAATATATTGACACAAAAAAACAAGTTTTGGACATAAAAGTAAACAACTAATATCGTAAATTATATTCTAAAGTTGAAAAACTACAAAAGGATAATCATTTTTTCGGTAGTGTACTAATGTCCTGTTAAAAGGCCAAGAATTAACACCTTAATAGAAGAAGACTTACACAGTTTTTTAAAGGGTAAAATGCATAACAATATTTTTAATCGTCTGTCAAAATTAAATTTCAATAGTAAAAATTTTGTATTGAAAATGTCAACGCAGATAAATTTAAAAGGGTTAATACATTTCAAGTAAGTGAATACCAGAACTCTTCAGTCGAGGTTAAAATTTAAATAGCAATCAATGAGAAATTTAACATTTCATTCAGACGAATTCCGTCGTATAATAAATCTAAAAAAAAAAAACAAGCTGTTAGCTTCAGATTCTAGTAGAACTCCTTAATTGTAAAATATTAAGAAATTACCGATTAACTGTATTCAACTACATTGATTACACTTTACTTATATTATGAAAGTATACTATTTTTGAAATTGGACAGAGCTATTTTGTTATTTTTGAGAGATCCGTATTTGTATTTATTTATTTTATTTTATTTGTTACAGATGGTATTTCTCTCGATGTTGGCAGCCCTGTTCGTGTGTGCCAGCGCCACACCGCAGTACAGCAACCATTACGAACCTAAAGCTCACTACGTTGAGGACTACTACGCACACCCCAAGTACAAGTTCGAGTACGGCGTCCACGACAGCCACACCGGCGACATCAAAAGCCACAAGGAGGAGCGCGACGGGGATGTGGTGCACGGCAGCTACGAGCTGGTGGAGGCGGACGGTTCAAAGCGCGTCGTCCACTACACAGCTGACCACCACACTGGCTTTAACGCCGTCGTCCACCGGGAACACAACGTCCATCCTCAACATTACGCCAAGCCCAAGTATGAATACAAACCTTCATACCATCACTACTAAAAATATGATCAAGCATCATCTCCATCCTACACATAATGTTTTCACCATGGCATTTAAGGCTTTATAATCAGCCTCTGGGTTGTATCTTGATTGTTAACAAATTTTACAGTTGCTGTTTTAAGTTACTGTGCTAAATAAATCGTAAGTTATAGAGCTTGATGTCACTTAAATATTTTCCCAAATCCTACCACATTGAATCATACCTTTTAAATTTGAGCTTGATTTAAATCCAAGATCAAATTTGTTACATAAATAATCAAACAATTGACAAATTGAACTATTATCCATAATGTACTTTTAAGTAATTATAATACAGGGAAAGCAAGATAAAAATGCACATGAATTCTGTAACCGATTGTCATAATGTGAGCTCAAAAGAGGGATTTTAATTATAATTGTATTATCACTTATCTTAAAGACATTTTTAATCCAACCAACAATTTAAAGATAATTACTACAGTCCCTAATCAAACTCAACTAAAATTGATGAAAACGATTAAGGATCTTTGATTTAATCATGAATGACCATTGAACTCATTATTTACAGTATGTCATAGTTTTATTACAGTGTAAGGGTTGTTAGTAAAATAACAGAAGTCCGTCATCTAGGAAAACATTTGAGCAAGTTTAGTAAATAAGTTAATTTACAGACTAACTTATTACATAACTATTGTTTCACCCAATTTATGTACCATTCATGAAAACAAAACTCAATAGATTTGCAGTGGTAATTAGGTTGGCATTCCTCAAACAACAAGACAAACAGAAATATTTTCAAACAATCCGAATTATAACCATCGAAAATGATTTTGAACACAATTAGACTCAACAATTTACAAAACAGTGTATGTTGCTACATAAAACTCATACTGGTTTATAAATAAACACCGGTAGTCGTGGTATGCGGTAACGTCGGAGGATGAGCCCCGCCCATGCACGAACAGACTTGACTGCCTCGACCATGACCTTGGCCAAGGTCGTCAAGGTCGTGGACGTCCAATACTGCGAGGATGCTCGACGACCACACCCTCCCAGAGCATTCACCTTAACTACAAGGGCGGCGACCTGGTGTTTATGTTGGGAATCTTGCTGTCTGGGGCGTCATGACAATCTTGCCTCGACCACGACCTTGCCAAGAATGTCAAGCTCATGGACAGTTATCACGTCTATTATCAATTGACTAGGGCGTAGTAGCAATTAGTACTGTTACAGCACAGCCTTTCTTTAAGAGGAAAATGTTAAATATATATTAATTGTGCAGCCTCTACAAATGGAAGTAATTCAAAGGTATCTCTAAACTAATAATAATGAATTTAATACATTGGTAAATAAACGCCAAGTCCAAAGACATTAATAGGTAGAAGTGGCAGTTATTTCGTCTAATTAGTACCCATTAGAATAGCATTAGTTTAGTTTTTAGTTGCACTAGAACGACACCTTTATTTGAATATGAAATTAAACTAAAAATATTCTTCGTTTTATGTAATTTAACAAATATTTGCAGGGCATTTTTCATCAAAATTAGAAAAACAAATGTATCCCCCCCCCCTAGTTTCAATCAGTTAGGTTTTACCATGCTGGAAAATGTCGGCAATAATTTCTTGAATAACAAACGTAAGCTCAACACAACCAAAAAGTTAATTTTTAACAAAGATTTGTCTTTATAGTTCTGAGCTTGAGACATTTTCTTCTTTCTAACCTCTAAGAACTACATTTCCAGTCACAAAAATAACCTGTGCTACAAGAGCAATCCAACGAAAACAAAATAATATTCAAGATTCAAAGGGTCGTCAACAAGAGGGAGATAATTAGGTAAATACAAACATACATACATTGGATTTTTTATATATAGATTTTCTTAATTCATAAGAACCAAAGAAGAAGTTTGTAGACAGTTCACTGTGGCCAACATAACAACACTTACATGGCGAGGGCAATTCAATGGTGCCAACTATCGCGTGTGACCAGCTAAACCTGTTCTGACCTGTTACACTCACAGCACAGCTGGACAATAATTATGATAGTTGGAACGAGTAATGATGTTGCAATGTCTCCTCAACAAACCACACAAGTCAGCAAATACTATCTTTCATCCAGTATAAAAAACTGATACAAAAAAAATTGAAAAGAGGGTTTTTATTTCTGGTAAAGGTACAGCTAATATTAGTCATCCTTAAGGCTACACGGGCCATTTCACTCCATCTTTCACACATATCGCATCCATATTCAGCTTAAGAAATATGTACACAAGGTATGTCGCTGCATTATCGAAGTGATGTTGTGATGCATATTTGTTCACTAGGATAGTTTATGTAAACTGGCTCGATATAGACAGTCTGATCTTTTTATGTTATAAGTTAGGTACTCAGTTAAGGTGTCTGAAGGTTTAGAAAATTTCAAAGGAAAACATGGAGGTTTGAACAAATAAGTTTCACAAATCGGGGATAAAATCCCGCAACCATGCGTGACTGCTCTACATGTTGGAACTTTATTGCTGTATCACCATTTAAGTCGCGACAGCTTTCAATGGGGAACACGAGTAATTGTAATGGTGTTCCATATTAGAGAAAATATGTTGCACAGTTGTGGTGGCATTTGCTATTTCCTACATTTGTGTTGTCACAGTTTGCTAATGAAGAATGCACTATTTGTTGCAGTTGACTACGCAATTGCTTATGGATATCGTTGGTTTCATTAAGCTGTGCTAAAGAGGGGTTTATTTGATTAACTATCTTTAAAATTTAGCGTATTGTGAAGGAGGTAGAGGGGTAGAGATGATTCCAACAGGCCACCAGAGATCTAATCTCGTAAAAAAAATTGCAGATTTCTTGTTAGACCGCCACTTGGCTCACGTTGGGTTATAAAATAATAAATCTGTGGTAATGGAGTATGCGACGATAAGTTGTTTTTTTCTGCACTACGTGATATTCGACAGAAATGGTTTATGATGCAATTTGTCGGATTTTACCGGAAGAAACGTGTAGATACACTTCTAAGACGTAACTGCTGTAATTTAAATGCAAAACAATGAATAAAGATTAAATATAACGATTGTCTGACAATTAAACTCGGAAATCACTTAACATCAAACATTAGAGGTGATTAAATTAGTAGTTAACTCATAATTCTATTTTTTTAACCTTGACAATCTATATTGCTTCATGTCTGAATAAACTATTTAAAATTCAATACGTAAATCTCAATGGTTCCACAATACATCGGATAGACTGGATAAACCACTATTTAAAAAGTTAGAAATTTTGCCTTTGAGAAATCTATATATGTATAACGTTTTGCGAATATTTATAAAATAAGTGGAGATAAGGTTGAAACTATGTCTGAAAGGAGAATAGTATTAAGAAAAAAAGTATAACGCAATAGTTCCAAAACCAAATTTAACAGCTTTCAAGAAATGTTATGTACACATTGCACCTAAAATGTTTGTTGCTCTACCATTCAATCTCAAAACCATCTCAGAAGCAGATTTTCTAGGAGCTGTGGCCTTATTTATTAAGTGTGGAAAATGCTGAAATGTACTTTTATGGATTTTAGTATGTTTTAGTATATAAGTGACTAATATAGATAATAAGTAATATAAATGCTTTTATCCTTTTGTATCATTTTTGTTCGTAAGTGTATCGTTTTTTACTCTGTGCTGAAGAAGACCTCTGTGTAAAACTCACACTCACTGTATATTATAACCAAGTGAAGTGGCCGGACAAAACCGCCTCTTCGATATTTTAGAACTTAATAAAGTGTATAAATACACTGACATAGGTTTTAAACCTAAGGTGGTAATTTTTTTTTCTTGTGTAAATGTATTTTTGTGTTTGTTTATTGTATGGAAAAAACAATAAAGATTTCTTAAGAAAGTAAAATTTGTGATGGAAAATAGTTAAAATTTTTTATGAATACACATTTAAAACTTTATCACAATGTGACATTTCAAAACCTTAAACGAACTGAGCCGAGCGTAAACATGACTTCGATCATGAAAAACACGATTTCATTAGAGTGATCGGAAGTCTTACAAAGTTTTATCCTTTACCGTGCAATATAAGTTGTATAACCTGTTGAGTATTAAAGTCCTTGTACTTGAACAATAAACGTGAACCAGACTGGGTGGAGTCGCCCATGACAGTGACTTTTACCTTGGCTTACTCTTGGTGTCTTCTTGGCACACTGAGAATGTACCAGCTTCTGAGTAGCAACTAGTTACTGACAGACAGCGCTTGCTGGGTGGGTGAAAGAGGTTTAAGTACGAGTAATTACGTCACGTATATGGCTTACATAGTCAAATTTCACTGGAAATAGCTTTCCCCCCTCTAAAACCCCGTCTCATTGCACCTCTACACCATACAGGGCCCCTATGCCAAATTTGATAGTTATAGATTATATATTTTGTGAGATATAGTGATCGTCTGTCAGTCAATGGTATTATCCTTGTATGAGTGTGTCTGTAGAGATGAGTCAATGCTATTTATTTATTCACGGTTAAGCTGTGCTTTTGTAATGTCGAACCCTTCAAATGGACTGTCATGAATTTCTAATCAAAAGTGTATTTTTATATAGTGTAATGCTACCCAATAATAGTTGGGTACTCGTACCTACTGTATAGCAGTTTGTTAAATAAATAGAGTGTAACTAAAAAATATAAAAAAGTTTTATCGCTATTACATAGTAATTAACAAATTAGTAGAAAAAAGTAATCTATTTCCAAAGCTATACAAGTTTGACTTAATATATTTTCATTGGTCAAAGTTAATAAGATCATTCATCATAGTGTTCGTTCGTTTGTAAAATACACAAGTACATAACACACAAAGAATACCCAAACAGTAAAATAAAATAAAAAAAATATAAAATGTAATCGTTAGAACTCAAAAACAATAATGCATTCGCGAAGGAATCTAATTGAATAGCTACGGCCCCAAACATTAACCTTGGGGTACTCCATCAGCAACAAGGCCTCTTCACAGTAACGACCGTCATTCAGGCCACTCTGGTGACACAACTGACGAAAAACTCTCAAAGACACGCGAGTGAAAGGGTCGCCTGACACGGGTAAGTGGCAGAAAGAGTAAAAGTATAAATAGTGCGAGTAGATAGATCCTTACTATCATTTATTACAAGACCACAGTATGGCTCGTCAGGTTAGTGTGCTGAGCTTGTGTCTCGCTGTGTATTGTGCTGGGGAAGTGTTGTCAGTGCGGTGGTAGCAATAGTTTGAATATTATATGTTATGTGATATAGTTTTAGGTGAAAACCTTCGAGGGCTGTTCGGTTTTGAGAGTTTCCATAAATTTGCAGTAGTAATTTGTATGTGTGTATTTTAGTTTTAGTAACAACGTAAGGCGTAAGTACTCACCAGATAATAAAACGAAACTATATAAATTTGATTTCAAAAATAGGACAAGAGTTTTATCAAGGTTTTGTTTTCAGTAATCTTGTACAAATTCTAAGTTCTTTGATAATAGGGTAAATTGATTTGCGGTTAATTGTACATATTTATACGTGACTGTAATTTACTACACATAACAACCGTAAAGTATTTAAGAAACTAGAAATTAAATTAAAATATAACCACATCATACTGAAAGTTGTGTCTTTGTAATTGCTTATACACAAACGGTGCACAGAAAACATTAGATAAACTTATAAAAGGTTATTTAAAAATATACTTTATGACTTTATAGCTTGTTCTATAATTTAAATGGACTGGTTCCGTTAAATCCAGTCATAAAAATGCCATTAAAAGTAATAATTATAATATGCCAACTAAGAGAATGTCTAAAAGTCTTAATTAAGTTTTTAATTGTTTTTCAAGGTTTTCCGTAGCAATACTTGGTGATATAAAATAATTTGTAAAGACATAGTGGTATCCAAAATATTAATTTTACTTATAGGCTACTTCCTCTTTAAATGAAACATCACAAACATTTAAGAACATGCCTCCTAACATGGGCCATAAATGTTGGGAGCATTGTAATTAAATATTACATTATGGTGGCCAACATATATTTTATAGCCAATGATGTAAATTGTCAAGCGTGAGGTTTACTACATCTAAAATCTGGATTGAAGACTGTGTTTTAGCAATATTATAAAAGACGTACTAATATTTTGGGGCAATTAAAACGGTAGCCTTTAAATAATGATAAATTATAAATTGCATGCAGCTTGTATTTTTATAATTATTACATATATACATTTTTTAACTTGAGTTTATGGTGTAACGTGATTTAGCTAGATGAAAAGACAGAATGAATGTTTCTAATCATGATGAAAAGAACATATTCACACAGCAGATATGAAGTAACATAATACACAATGTTTTGTAAGAAATAGGTCTACTAATAATATCCTATTCAAGAAAGTAACCAAGACTAACTTTATTGGTTGTGAATACTAACTTCCTGAAAACATGACGTTTATTTTTTATTACTTGGGTCAGGAAAACAACATATAAAAATTGGTCCGAAATGGATTTTTTTTGCAGGACATATCTGCAAACAAAATGTCAGTTTTTCACATCGTACCAGTTAAAAGTAGCGGCCATTTAAAAAGTGCAATACACAGTAAAGACAATTTATGAAGCAGTGTTTTGATTGCAAAATCGTTTAATCGACAGCTAAGATATTTACCCTGGTGAGATTTTTTTAGATGAAGCCAGTGCAGTTTGTGAATTGTGATTACAGTGTATTTCGAGCTAACGCACTATTAAACAATACTTTCTCCATATACTATGGTACAGGTGGAGACAGTAAAAAACCAAGCCCAATTTTATATCTTATACTTTCAATATCTTTAAATCTTCTCACTATCCATGTATAGAAAGGTTTTATGATAAAACATGATTTGTTCATGGTTTAGCCAACAACATGAAATATTGTATGCCCTTAAATAGTCTACAGTTACAACTTAACTAACTCAAATGTCCATTCCAGATGATAACTCTCGTTTTCGTGCTGGTCGCCGCGACCTGTGCGCTAGCCCAGTACGGCGGCCACGGAGGCTACGAGCACAAGTACGAGTACAAAGAAGAGCCATACGATCCTCATCCCAAGTACTCCTTCGAGTACGGCGTCCACGACCCCCACACCTACGACATCCACAGCCAGAAGGAGGAGCGCGACGGAGACGTCGTCCACGGGTCCTACAGCCTGGTCGAGCCTGACGGTACCAAGAGGGTAGTGGAGTACACAGCCGACCACAAGAACGGTTTCAACGCTGTCGTCCACCGGGAACACAACGTCCATCCCACACACTACGCGGCGCCCAAATACGAGGCTCCCAAGTACGAGTACAAACCAAAGTACGAGTACAAACCAAAGTACGAGTACAAACCAAAGTACGAGTACAAACCTAAGTACTACTAGACTGTTTGACCTTCATCACTTCTCACCCCTCACTCGCTACCTGAGAGCAAAATTTGCTCATGCATTCATTTTATATTTGTTATTAGTGAATAAATTGTAATATATTTTGTAAACGGTGTTTTTTTACGTTTCTCTAACCATGGAAAAACATAAACACACATGCAGCGAATCAGTTATTCACAATCTCCTGGGTTTGGTTGAGTTGGTAAGATAGCCACCAAAGAGCATCATTTCACCTTATATTTCGATTCAGATCTTATCTTATTTGCAATACAATAGGTTAAGTCACCAGTGTCAAAGTCAAAGTTGTAGGAGCTTGGGACAAGAGTGCGCACTTTAAGTTAAACCCGCCAACAAATAGGTCAAATGATTAACAATTGAAACTAAACTAATAGTAAACAATCGTATGTTAGTTGATAACCAAACTACATTTTATTTTTACAATTATCATTAATATATCATTTGAAAAATAATAATGTTACGAAAAGTTACATTTACAAACTCTTGCCCGTGGATGGGGCAAGAGTTCGCACGTAATGTGGCAAAAGTACGCAAATAGCTTAAAGAAGCACGCAAGATATAGTGAAAGAGATTTTATTCGTACAAACACCCATATGCTTAAATGGTACAAAACAACTTAAGTTTTGCACGTTCTTAGTGAAAAATAGTTCTTTTTAACAGTAATCACAAGTGAATTTGCTACCATCCTCATAATTTGAACAAGAGTCATGTACTTGCATGAAGTGCATTGAATCCAGTCCTCCTCTGGCGGTTCCTCTGGACAGATAATTTTGGTACTTAATGGTCCTTGGTTATTGATTGTTTATTTATCTTTGGATTTTTTCGACAAAGTGTGAACACTGAAATAACATGTTTGGGTCATGCGAACTCTTGCCCCAACGGCAATGCGAACTCTTATCCCACATTCAAAGCTTTTACATGTAATGAGCTGCTGCTCGCTGTGGCCATTAATGGAACTAAACTAACATGGCATTAAGTAGAGCATTAAATGAACATTTAAACTACATGTATATAAGGTTGAAACGATTGAATTAATTAATTGAATAACGTATATTAATTCCCAAATACAGTACTTAAATATTGGCTCAAAATAACGGTAAAAATATCTTACCTCATGGTGAGATCAATAAACAGAGAGAATGGTAAAATCAAACTAGGGAGGAATAGCGAGGGTACTGTCTTGCACCGGATGAGACTTAGTGGTACCAAGCTCAAGCGCAAAGTACAAATTTCCGCTCTGCGTACTCTTAGCCTGTGCGTACTCTTGCCCCGAGTTACTCAATACATTTTTGTGATTTTTAGTTAAAAGAACGTCTAAGCTTGAATGTCAATGCAAATGATTTTTAAATATACAACTCTTTCCATCTCTCTTAGGAACGTTGGATTACATTATTTGAAAACGATCGAATAAATAAAATTTAATTCGAGTTTTAATTTATCAATTTTCAAAGCCATTAAACTTTCATTTAACACCTTTTGAAGATGATAAGGGTAAACAAACCAAGATATTCATGCAGTCGCTGCTGAATCTTTAGTCAATGTTTGTGGAAGCCCATTACGAGCTTAATATTTTAGGTTAATACAAAAGTCATTCGATAAGTTTTTTTTTAATCTCATGTTTCTACCATTTAAGTAATAACTTGTGCAGCTAACAATGGTGTACATAGACCTATTATGTACTGTAATATTTCCATAACGTTACTAATGACCCTCAGTTTGTGGCTGCTCAGTTGCTAGACTATGATACAAATCACAATCGCACACATGGGGTTTAAGGTTAATTTTCCTTTATGAAGGAAATTTAGGTTTGAATACGTTTTCGCTAAGTGATAGTGCTGTAATTTTCTCCCCAAAAGGAAGACAAACAGACGTGTATAGTCTTTTTGTTTAAGATGCTATTTAGACTCTAATGTTATGGTTGTAGGTGCATAAATTAAACCAAACTACTGTACATAAAACTTGGAAAATAAGTTAATCGTTTAGGAAATTCTAATTATGACCCTAGAAAAAGTTGAAAACTGGAAACTTTTAACATGAACCGTATTTTTATATTTCATCACTAATCTTCAATTTGACATAATATAACATTTAACTGATGAAAGTTAACACATTTAAAGTAATGCAGTGAAAAGATCAAAACTTACTAATACGGTCGAGAAATTTTAGTTGAAAAGGAATGATAGAGAGTGCAAGATTTCTCGGTTGACATGAAGTTAGTGATTCTTGATAGATTAAACCAAAAGTCAAGTTATTTAGTCAAGTAGTCTTTTGTACATATTATTACCTTGATCAAGAGAGGATACAATAGTTACAATAGCCAGTTTTCACTATTGTAACTTTTCCAATACAATGTATTTTGTAATTTTGGAAAAAAACTTGTGACTTAAATACAATTGTAGGGAAATGTTTGTTGTAAATCAAAAACCAAGCATCCCACGCGACCAGCAGGGCAGAACCCATAAAATAATACGAAAAAGCACTTTTGAATACCTTGACTATGTTTTAAGAAAGGTAAGCAGCCTCACTGTTACGTTTTATGACGTTACAATTCCAAGCAGAGCTTAGTGAATAAGTACTTAATTTGAACTTGTGAACAAAGCGTAATAAAAGTGGTCTGAAAGTCCAAGCAGCCGTTTGGGATGTGCACTGTATCATGTTAATGATGAACACTTTTCAACAACTGATCGTGTAACTATGAGACAAATCACCTCATATTGTATTATCTTTATATCTGCACAATCCAATCACATAATCTAGAAAGCATACATAGTAAGAGAATAAGAGATTGCGCGTAGTTTCTGTTTAACCTCTATGGTTATTGAATTAATATTTAACCATATGATTTTATTTACTTTTCTTTAATAATATTGTCTTGTATTAGTGTCTTCATTAAAACAGTTTAGTTTCTTTTGATCTTTTAATTTTTAATTAAATAAGAAATAGAACATGGCGCAGTCGAATGAAGAACCCGTATCCCTAAACATTAAGCCTCCTGAAGCCTTTTCCTTCAATCCTCACGACTGGAAGACATGGAAGACTCGTTTTGAGAGGTATTATTCCCTTAGTAATTTAGCTCTACATTCTGGAAAGCATCAGATTGACATGCTTATCTACTGTATGGGGGAAAAGGGAGAGGACATACTTAATTCATTCAGTTTAAATGACAATGACAAATCTAATTTCAAAGCTGTTATACAGAAGTTTGACGATCATTTCCTTCCTAAAAAGAACTTAATTTTTGAACGGGCTAGGTTTCTAAAACTTACACAAGGTTCCATGCCGATTGAGAACTTTATCACAGACCTTCACAATCATGCAAAAAACTGTGATTGGGGTCAAATTGAAGAGGAGATGATTCTGATGGTTTTGATTATTGGTATGCGGGACGAAACACTAAGTGATCGTCTTCAACTTGAACCCGAATTAAAACTAAACACAGCTATAAACACTATCCGTAGATCTGAAGAACTATCAAGACAGAAACAAACTCTTAACTTGACTGACATAGCATTAATAAATAAAAATACTCAACATTTAATTAAGACAAACATTATTCCCAATAAATCAAACAATGATCAAAATTTTAAGCGGATTAATGACAATAAAAGCCTGTCCCATGTCGAAAAGAGATGTTTTTGGTGTGGTTCGACAGTTTTACACAAAAGATTCAACTGTCCAGCTAAACAATACAAATGTGGGTTTTGTAAAAAAGTTGGTCATTTTCCAAATGTTTGCAAATCAAACAAAGTCAGTCAAATTGAATATGATGATACTGACCTTGAAACACCCATTGAAAATGTTTGCTCTCAGTACATAGACCCTCAAACATTCATTGGCATTGTAGGAAAAAACTTGCGTGATGATCCATGGTCTGTAGTGTTAAATATGAATGACAGTGATGATGTTCTTTTCAAAATTGATACAGGAGCAGACGTAACGATTTTGCCTTCCGACATTAAACTGAATAAGAAAATCAGGCTCACTCCCACATCCAAAACATTTAGTGGCGCAAATGGTAAAGCTCTGTCAATTTTAGGAACTGCTACTGTAAAATTATCACATAATCACAAAACATGTTATGAGACTATATATGTTTCTAAGGGCACTTCCCAGCCACTTCTAGGTAAACCTGCAATAACAAGTTTGCAGTTACTTGCTCGAATCAACGAAATACAGCCATCCAGTAATGACTGGTATGACAGACACCCCAAACTGTTTGAAGGCTTAGGTTCCATTGATGTCAAATACAAAGTAGAACTGAAAAATAACGCCAATCCATTTGCAATCAACACGCCTCGTCGGATTCCTCTTCCTCTTTGGGAATCTACTAAAGAAGAGCTTGAAAGAATGGTGTCAATGGGGGTGGTCGCTGAGGTACACCATGCCACAGACTGGTGCTCTCCAATGGTTGTTGTGCCAAAGAAGGACTCTAACAAAGTTCGCATTTGTGTAGATCTTACTAAATTAAACAGATGCGTCAAACGAAGATACTATCCTATTCAACCTATCGACATAACACTTGCCCAAATCTCAGAAGCAAAATGCTATTCTAAATTGGATGCTAATAACGGATTCTGGCAGATCACATTGGACGAAGAATCCCAAGATTTGACAACGTTCCTGACACCGTTTGGACGTTTTAAATTTCTGAAACTACCCTTTGGAATAACATCTGCACCAGAAGTGTTCCAAGAATGCGTGAATCGAACCCTTAAAGGTCAAATGAATGCACTTGCGCATATGGACGACATAATTGTTTGGGGGAAAACTCAACAAGAACATGACTATTTCTTAGAAGAAGTACTTACCAAACTTGAATGTGCTGGCTTCACCCTAAACAAAGACAAATGCTTGTTCTCTCAAACCTCGCTAACCTACTTAGGTCACCATTTATCTGAATCAGGAATCAAAGTCGATGAGACCAAAGTCGAAGCTATACGAAAAATGGCTCCTCCAACAGATATTTTAGGAGTTCAAAGGTTACTTGGTATGGTGAACTTCATTGGCAAATACATACCTAACAAAAGCCGGTTACTAAAACCCATTACCGACCTACTAAGTAGAAAAAACGAATGGTGTTGGGGTTGTGAAC